CTCAGCCAAATGTTTCTAACCCTTGCAAATGGAGAGGGAAGGTTTGTTTTATAGAGGAAGAGAGCCAAGGCTTCTTGGAGAAGCCTCAAAAAAGGGTCAAAGCTTCTCAAAGAAGCTTAACCAAAAGGGTCAAGCTTCTCCTTGAAGCTAAGCAAAAGGATCAAATCTTCCTTAAGAAGACAAACAAAAGGCTAAAAATCCCGGAGGAAGGGTCAAGTACTTCATAGCTGGCACAGTTGTGTTGCACTCAGGAAGGCCAAAAAGCAGAAGGCTGGCCGACCAGCCAAGGTGGTTGGCCGACCACTCCCCCTGGTCGGCCGACCATGGGTCAAAAGGGTCAAGAAGAAAAGGTGGTCGGCCTACCCATATTGGTGGCCTCCCAGGTGAATGCAACTCGGTGGTATGGTGGAAGACCAGAAATTGTGGCCCAAAAGTAAGGGAGACCAAGGGGTCAAAAGGGTCAATCATCAAAGGTGGTCGGCCTACCCATATTGGTGGTCTCCCAGGTGAATGTAACACAATGGTGGTATGGGAGACCAGAAATTATGGCTCAAAAGTGAGGGAGACCAGTTTCCCGACAAGAAAACTGGCTAAAGGAGAGAGAAAAGTGGTCTCCAAGGAGAAAGCTGGTCTCCAAGAGGAAAAGGTGGTCTCCCACCCTTGTACCACCTTCCTAACAATGAAACTAGGGTCCATGCCAAAAATAAACCCTAACCGATGCAAAACGAGGGTTCGGGGGCCAAAACGCGCAGCCGGGGGCCCCGAAAACTGACTGTTAAGCATCGAAAGTGGCGTGCGACCACGAAGGTGGTCTCCCGGGCCACAATGTCCCTCTAAGGAGAGGAAACAAGGTGTGTGCCAAAAATTGGAGTAAACGGAGGTAGTTAAGCGGTCCCGAACCGAGGCACACGGCCGACGGCTCTGAAAACCGAAAACTGGTCTCCAAACGGGAAAAATGGCCTACGACCACGAAACGTAGCCTACAGCCACTGAGAGATGGTCTACGAGACCTCTCCCTCCCTTCAAGAAGAGAAAACAGAGAAAACAGGACTTGGTTCGCAAACCGAGGCAAGGCACAAAAAGGTTCCGAAGCCCGAAGACAAGGCTCTCAGCTGAGACTTTGCAACCTCAGAACGAGCACAATATGCAATAGCACCGAGCGTTCAGTTGGTGACGTCTAAGTCTTAAGGTCGGTCAAAAATGGGGTGTCTATACATACTGGTGTACTCCTCCTCCGATCAGATAACACATGGTTGTCTCATGCCTCCCAAATGATGTCCAAGTATGCATACATAACATTGTAGCGTGGAGCTGTGGCTCCTCAAGAAGCACGCATAGGGCCAAGTGGTGGATTAGGGATTGTCTGCACTCTGCTAAACTGTCTCAACACTCTATCAGGGTGATATGGTTCAACTACTTCCAAACACTTTAGGCAACCGTGGTAGAACGTAACTGGATGACATGGATAGACATCTCTGCAACTCTGGTACGAGTCCCAAATAACCTACAAACAATAAAAACTGTAAGATATGACAATTGTAAATTTTGTATGATATAACGTTTCAAATATTGAAGGACTTTTCAACCTACATCATGTACACCCAACCTATCAAGCTCCTCTTGAAAAGCCTGCAACTGTGTCTCTTCACCACACTCTCTCCGAGAAGTCCAACGGTAAACATGTGGCATGTCTCGAGTGTAATTCATATTCAAGTGTGGCCGGAATCCACGAAAGTGCTCATAAATCCATCCCTCAAAGAGTGTCATGTAACCGGCTATTTGTTTCACGCCGGACCTACTAGCGTACCCCAACTGTCTATATAAGTATGCCAATGCAGCAGCACCCCAAGCATATGAAGATACAGTCGTCAAATTAGACAACAAACTCAAATAAACAACAGGGACCTTAGTACAAGTCTTGTCACTGAAAAGTGTACAACCCAACAAAAATAGCAAGTATGCTCTACCTGCACATGCAATTCTTTCCATTGAATCATTGTCTGTGACATTATGGAAGTGTGCCCTCAACCACTCAAGCCTCACTGAATTGCCTCCAGCAGTAGACATCTCATGTCTGACTTCTTGCTCATCAATTTCTAAGGTATTAACTACTAATGTAACAGCCCGCCTTTCTGACAACTTACGCACGCTAATGGATGATGTGAAATTAACTCAAGCTTTTAATACTCTATATAATGCAATTGTTTTGTTCAGCTATTTAGCTAACAAAATTTATGAAGACCCAACTACTAAGCTAACAATATCATGTGAAAATACCAATACTGCACAGTTTTTTGTTTCTATTGTTATACATTCAATTTGGGGGAAAAAAACAAATACATTAACATACCCATAAAATAAAATTGTTGGAAAAGAACCTAATGTAAAACAAATATTGGTGGCCTATGTAACGTGGTTCTATATCAAAAAAAAAAAAAAACCAATTCGACACTTCTGGACCAAACTTACAAAAATATTTCAACAATTAAGTGCCGAAACTATTGTATTTATTCGGCATAAGGTCACAGAAAATATAGAATAGATTCGGAAGTCAAACTACCAAGTTATGTATTTTTTTCAGAATTTATTGGACAAAATTATACATAATATTCGGAAATCAAGTGCCAAATGAAACACACATATTCGGAAAGCCAGTGCCAAGATGTACACAGCACTTCCAGCCACGGAAAAAACATACTTTCGTGCGAATGGAGTGAAGATAGATTCGAAAATTGTCAATCTAATAACAAAATGATAAATGTAATAATAAAATTGAAAGATTTCTTACCTTAAACAAGGTTTTCAACAGTGTTTAGTAGATATTTAATGGAGCTCTTGAAATCTTCAATGGAGGTGAGGAAAGTGCAGTTTTTTTTTTTTTTTTGATTCTTGTTTGAACTTCTTCTTCTTCCCTCCTATTTGAAGTAGAAATGTAAATTGGGGTCACTTTGGTCTTCACGAAAGTGGGTGGAAGTAGAATTGTAAATTGGGGTAAATTAAAGTGTGTGTATTTTAAGGGTAAAGTGTGTGTACATATGAGTGAAGGATTTATTTATAATTTTAAGGATGTGGATTGAGATAATTACTTAATAATTAAATTAATAAAGATGTGTATTGAGAAAAGATTTGCCATGAGTTTATTAGGGTGGTGGAAATAGAATTTCCCGTCCTGTTAACCTTTTAAATACACCAATATATTCTTCATTACCTTTATTGCCCTCATTAAATTCTAATTTATCAAATCTTTTCATATTTTTTTTTTCATCTCCATCTCTTTTCTCTCTTCACAACTACTAGCCAGCCACCACTACCGTCGTTGCCTACTACCACCGCATTGCCACTGTTGTGATCTACCACCATCACTACCATCGTCGTCTACCACCACTCTCATGGTTAGCCGCCACCATCGTTCATCAATTATCAACACTGCTAACAACTCAGATCCACCACCGCCGTCTCATATCCATCTCCACCATCGCAAATCTACACTCCGTCGTTGTCTTCATCCCTCGCTACCATCGTCGCTCGCCGTACGATGCCGTTGTTGCTTGCCTCACACCACCATCCTCCTCTGTTGTTGCCATCACTGTCGACCATCATTTTCCTCTGTTGCCATCAACATCACTCACCTCAACAATCGTCCTCCTCCGTCGTTGTCAAGAACACTCACTTTGTTTGTTGTGTTGATTAGTTTCATCACTGTTATTTTCTAAAACTTATGTCATTTTTGTGAGTTTGTAAGTGATGTTATTTGTTTTGAGATGAAACTAATTTTTGATGAATTTTTAAAAACAGTGATAAATTTATCATTTTTCTCACTAGAGAGAAGTAAATATGCAGTATGGTCAATCTATCAGTGATAAATTTATCATTGATTTGTTAAATATGTTGTATACTATTGTTGAATTTTCATAAATATACAGTGGTAAGTTTATCACTGACTTGTTAGTATAGAGATAAATATACGTTGGATGGCTCAATCTATCTATGATAAATTTATTATTGATTGGTGTTATATGGTGTATACTTTGTGATAAATTTTTTAACAAATTTGTCAGTGATAAATTTATCACTGAAAAGAGGACAAATAGCATATGGTAAAGGCATAATTATGTTGATTAATGACACTGCGGACAACTATTTTCTGGTAAGGCCTTTCGTTTTCCTTTTTATCAACTTCCTCTCTCTCCTATTCTTCTGTTTTTTCTATTCTTTTGTCACTATCAGATCTAAAGAGGTAGTGATGGTAATGATGTTGTTTGAAACAAACGTTATTTTTGCAAAAAAATAGCTTCAAAAACTATCACTAGAAGTAGTTGTTGGATGTGATCACCAGAGGTTGTCAAAAGTGATCGACAGAGGTTATCATCGACGGTCAAAAGTGATTGCCGGTCGAAAGTGATTGCCCGTGGCTAGAAGTGGGCAGTGATGTGTCATAACAGTGATCTAATGATTGAGTTGTTGATGGAAGTTGTAGGAAAGATATTTTGAAAATATTGATAGATATCCTCAAAAAAAAAGAAAATATTGATAGATGAAAAAATAAATAAAACTTACCAGTAAATAAATTTAGTCAATAAAACCAATCCATAAATCCCCTAAAATCTAAAGCTTATGGCCCAGCATGAACCAATCTATTTAATTCGACCTAAATTTGATGTTGGACTAGCCCAGCCTAAGCTTAGACGGAAAGGTAAAATTCACGAGCCGGCCAATAAGCCAGACCCAATGAGATATCTAAAGCTGGCTCAAACCTGGCCTATACGTGCAGCCTAAAGGCTCGTATTAAGAGACTTTCAAAACAAAATTAGATAATTGGTGCTAATCAAACAACTCTGTCACACACATTCATCTCAGTAAAGAAATGCACCTCGAGCAAGTTTACGGGATAACAGCCAGGTGGTGGGCCACAAAATATAAATCTTCCCCTGTTTAATCTAGCATATATGTAATATGCTATCACAGAGAGAGAGAGAGTACAAATCATGCTAGGAAAGGCATGTAAAATAAGAAATGATTAGAAGCTCCCAATCCATAGTCTACCCAAAATGAACCAGACAATGATAAAACAATACATCACAAGAAGTTGATAATCATTCAATGTAGCAAGATACAACCCTAGCATTTGACTATACTGATAAAGTAACTGTATCTACCAAAATTGTTACATATACTCTTTTTCCCGTCTCGATTTAACTGTTTGTCTGACACTGACAAGTTGCTTTGGAGGGGAAAAAGATTGCAGAACCTAGCAAAACTTGTATCTTTTGGCCCAAGTTGAACTGAGAAAGGAAATCCAAACTAAGTCTGCAAAATCAGTGACCATAATCTGTTTCTTGTACAAACAGGTTTATTCAACTTCTTTAATTATTCTTCTTTTCCGTAATGGCTCCCTTGGCATGCTTCCTGGGGCACTGTGAGCTCGTCGCCTCTCATCTTTCTTTCTTGCGGCTTCAGTAATAATACGTCTGAGAGAAGTAGCCTTGTATATTGGTTTCGGCAAGTGCCTGTGCCTGTACAACATAATCATTAAAGACAATGAATTAGTAGTTTTAAGCACTATGAAGATAATTTGGAAGTTAATTCTGAGCGTGAGAATTTGTATATGTGAGGGTGATGAACCAGTAAGCACATGAGAGCCCCCTCATTAAACTCTCAACCACTTATAAACAGCTCCACAAATGTTGTAAACCAATATTACCTCACAATACGCTTGACCTCAGGAAGGTGCTTGTAGCGATTCTTGACAGCCTCCTGATACTCATGCTTTCTACGTTCCCTTGGTAGAAGCTGTAACAAAGCATTTATGTTAAACTGAAATGACAGTACATTCTTTTTGCATTGACTTTTTAAATAAATACTAGTTTAAACTTTCCTAATCCCCATAAAAGTACCAAATACAAACATGCAATAAAAAATTTTAGATGTCAGATTAAAAAATAGGTTGGTTCAACAACTTAGAAGAACAAGAAAACAAAGAAGATAATTATGACTATTATACACCAAGCCAACTACATTAGTCAGCAGCACCAGCGAGGTCTCAGGTATTCACAATTAATCTTTCAAAAAGTTCAACTAATAAAAGAACAGCGGACAAAATAGCAACAATTGTATCAAATGGCCAATAAAACATGCAGAAAGCAATAGATTCATACAACTCCCAATTGTTCAGATGCTTTAGCTTTCCAAAGCCGAAGATTGGTATCATCGCTCCCTGAGATAACATAACTTCCATCACAGCTGAACTTTACACAAAATACCCTGCATTGATGACAAAATTTCAGCCAGGACGCAACTAAATAGTGAATACTATATCTACTAAATATCCTAGAATGCTATTGTGTCGAGGATAGAAGAGTATTTTCATTAAGGCCACGGGTTTTGATTATGCATATGGTCACAATATTTAAGTGTTTAGGAAGCCAATGTCAGAGGCAATGACAACATTGACAAGAAAGCAAAGCATAAAGTTTGATCACGAAAAGAAACGAAGCATACCTTTGCATTCTCTTGGTATGGTAGATTTCCCTGCTGTGGCCACCATTGTATTGAAATATTCTTATCTGCATAGCATGAAGCTGAATCAGAACACTGCCCTTCTGTTTAATGCTATGAAAAAGTTAAAAGGGGTTACATATATGACCCAACAAATGACTGAGTGAGAACTTACTGTTCTGTCATAAGATCCGGTTACAAATTCACGACCAGTTGGAGAATAATCAATATCCATCCTGTCGGGGTAAAAAGTACAAGGATAAACATAGATGATTTTCTAGAAGGATACAATTCTAAAACAGAGAACAATACATGACAGCACAATTCAAGAACTTAGCCTCTGCCATCTTACACTGCAGAAACGTGGTCCTTGTGCACACACTTAGCTTCTTCTAATTTTCTAGCATCATAGCTGTAGCAATTGCAATCTTCATTTGCCTGTGTTAATATAAAATAGAAGAGCATAAACAAGAAGAACAGGAATTTCGTACACAGGAAGCTAGAAGTTCACAAAATCAAATATGGTGCGTACCCAAAGCGTAACATAAACTACTAAGGTCAGAGAATTGTTCCCATCTCACCTTTTGCATGCTTATAAAGTCAAAACAATGCACAGCATTTCAGACAGAAAGAAACATCAAATGCTGATCCAGTTCTAATTTGCGTTTCCAAGCAGTGGGAGGGGCATGCAATTCAATCTAGGGACTCGAGACAAGTTGCCACTTACCAGGGCCAAGCAAAAGAACCACAAGGGCTTCTATCAAGGTATCTTAGCCAATTGAATAAGCTGGGAATAAACCCACTGGGCTAGCTCAGTTGGCCACCCCTACAAGCTCCCAACTGGGAGGTCAAGGGGTCAATTCTTGCCAAAAGCAAAAATGAATTATTTCTCCCCATTATGGGGATTTTGTTGTATTGAGTTTATTTCCTCCCATTATGGGCTCTTTCCAATTTCTTGTGTTGGTGATTTGTATTAGTTGTTGGGCTGATAGATTTGTGTTGGACTGTGATTGTCCAATTGTATGTAATTCTCCTCATATGCATATAATCTCCTACCGTTTGAACCCCCCCAAAAAAGTGGGGAATAATTTATTTAAATCCCCTCATGGAGTATCCAACCTTTGACTCCCACCCAAAATTGTCCAAAATCGCAAACCAATGATGCCAAAAGATAATTGCCTTGTGAATCTGTGATGAAGTATATGAATAAATGACTTTTGGCTAAAAGAGCTTCCAACTGTTGCACTTACAGCCGTGAAATTCATTGGCTCCATGGGATTCCAAGCTATAGAATTAGTTTTTGTCTGCATTAAGAACATACAAGTTAGACTCATCAAAAACAACAAAGCGTTAATTACGGAGACACTTCTTCAACTATTACCACATATCAGTTTACCCCTCTCAACTTGAAAACAGAACAATTAGACCTGTACAAATGCACCCCTTCTAGAGGGATTGAAAGTAATGCAGTTTCATAGTTGAGAGGGTCCAAGTGTACGATTTTGAAGATGAGAAAGGTAAAGTGATATTTAGTAATAGTTGAGAGGGTATCCGTGTAATTAACACCAAAATAATTTGAATGGCTAAAAATAAGCAACCAATGCAGGAAATAAGACATTCTGAAATATAGAGATGCCATTGGGCAGCCATTTTAAACAAATATTCAGTATCACTAAGTATACATATTTAAGCATACATAGTTTACCAGCCAGCTATATTTTTCAGTCAAAAGGGAATTGTAGAGAAATTTCAACAAACTAGATGACAAAATCGCAAATGCAGGAATGCATGTGCTTAGGTTCTTTCCCTTTAGAATCTTAAGACTTTGTACATGAACATCTTCTACACCTTTTTACATGCTTAAATTTTGATAATCTTGATATAATACAACTGACAGAGATATCTGGCTCAGAAAAGAAAAAAAAAAATTCCAAACGAGAAGCAATTATTGCAGAATCTGAGTTACCTTACTGCATATATAAATGGTTGCATGACCTGCATTGCAGTATCCGATTTGACCTAATAGCTGATGATCTAGTAGACTAGCACTAAATTGTGCTTTTCTACCTTTTTTTCAGGTGGCCACAAGGAAAATTACATAATTGAGGTTAAGGAGGCTATTTTTGGGTTATACCAAGGTGTCCTAACCAATTACACTATCACACAGATGCTGAGTGCATATAATAAGCCCAGGGACAGTCAAACCTACAACAATGGTTCCAAAGCCATCACTTGCTCAACTCTCAACTACCCATGCTACTTTTGAGGTTTAGAACATTTCTTTCACCTTCTATTATAAATTTTTTTCTTTTTAAAAATAAATAAAAAAAATGGGAAAGGGATAGTAATCTTCTAAACTACTTTATAATTTATAACATTAAACAGGTCTGCAGGAGCTTTCTTTTTTGGTTACTGGAAGAGTCTGATCTAAGGGGAAGGGGAAGGGGATGCTGAGGATTGAACCCAGCCACATGATCCTTTGGGCCAACTCCCTTGCCCCATAAAACTAAACACCATTTGTCATCCTCAGGAGCTTTCAAATATCATAGGAGACATCTTGAAAATAATTAACAGATAAAGGCAGGCTATGGTTTACAGATATGTGGATCTAGTGTTGACATCCTATGCACTTAGCGGTTGTCCACCAAGACAACTCAGTCATTTCACAAAGGACACAGCATTTTGGTTAAAAATATTCATATCATCAAGACAAGCTTTGCTTCTCCGATTGAGATGTACTACTTTGTCATTGTTGAATAATAACAGGATCATGAATCACTGCTGAACAAAAATTCTTATTAAGAGAAGCATAAGAAGCATTAACTGCAATTCCTCTATGAAGACAAAACATTTTAGAATTTTAACACCCGTTTCCATTTGCTTCTAATAGTTCAACCTATCCAGAAAAATTGTCAACTTACAAATGTAGTTTTGATCCTTTCGGTGCTACCAGAAGTCATTTTGATATACGATTTTATCTTGCTTCAATTTTACTTATTATCCCTGATCCGGAAGTAATCTTTTCCTTTCCTTGGGCAGTACCTTCCAACAAGAACCACTATTTGTGGGAATTTGGTTAACCAAATAACTAAACTTTCATCCATTATTGAAAATCTACAATTTCTTTTTTGGTCAGCAATTGAAATCTACAATTTCTCTGAAGTTTGAGTAATGGAAACCTGTTCAAAGATTGAATCTATCACATACTTCCAGTTACTACTAAGTTACTATCAGCTATGTTCATCAATTAAATTCCCACACAACAATTTCTTGAAACATATTCTACATACATTAAATTATCAGGGGAAAACAATAAAACAAGCAATAGATAGTTTATTGTTAAAGCTTCACTTTTTGCTTATCTTCCCACATAAGTACATTGGCAGGCATATTACACAAACAGATACACTTAGATTGTCAGACAAATCTTTAAGACTGGATTAAAATTCTGGGAATAAAGTACATAATTACCCTCATAATAAGCTTCCTTGCAGGTGATGACATTCGCAAATCATATATCGCTATGCTACGATCGCTACAAAAGAAAACAAAACAAAGTGTTGAGTAAAGTGATTGGAGCATCAAAAGATCATAATGACCAAATAACAACTTCAAATTAATTACAATTTACAGAAGTCTATATAACATCGTCATCTGAAATGGCAAAGTGATTGAAAAAATCCATTAAGTAAACGATATCCTATACACGTTTCATCAAACACCAACAACTATGGACCCCAAGTTTGACAGTGTGGGGAAGTGGTTCTGGAAATACTCTTTGGATCCAATGGGGCACTCCAGATCCTCAGCTAGTAACCTGAAAATGAATGAACACTCCGGTCGGGGGTGCCGGAATTAGCACTCCGACGGATAAGTCAGTATATACCCTCTCGATTGCTTGTATCTTAAGTTAAGCGTACTAGTTCTCATATACCCCTCTTTGGTTGTTCTTCTATTTATATACACTCCTAGTCCTCAGGATAGGGCCCACTATTAATCCGTCGTGTGATTGCTCACTCGGCCCTTCTTTTGTCGTATTACAAATTCCAATCGGCCCCTCATTCAACTGGCTTTATGGCCGACTAAAATATTCGGCATCCAGAACGTACAAGATGGGGGCGAGTATAATATGTACCGATTGTCTAAATGTGTACCCGGCCTACCTGCGTTCGCTATTATTCGGCTCCCACAATTGCTCCCCAAACACCCCACTAGCACTAGTTAGTCGGTGTGTTAGGTTTCGAACTTGAAAAGTCAAAAATTCGGCAGTTAACCTCATTCCAACGTGTGTCAAAATGCACACGTTTTCTAGTCATCATTACAAATTCCCGCCTCTTCGCACACGTCCTCCATTTAATGTAATTTAAAACTTTGTCTCTTCGAATGTATACTCTGAATACTCGAAGTTTCTGGCTCGCCTTCTAGTTCAACTCCTTCATTTCGCGACCTCTGCAATTTCCTCGTCTCTCATTATACCTTCTGCGTCCTGTAAGTTTTCTTCTCCTTCACTCCCAATACCATTTCCTTGTTTACTTTCATTTTTGCATAATCCTTAGGCTGGCTGTGATGGCAAAAAATTTGAAAGAGCTCCTTTCTGTAGATCGAATTTCCGACTTCAGACGCCATTATTCCATCCCCGACGACGTCCATCTGTCACTCATGGTAGACAGCACCACTGATATGGAGAGGACCGATGAGAGTACAATCATCTTTCCTCTCCTATCGATTGCTGAGGGCGGAGTCCGTTTTCCCCTTCACCCATTTTTAAGAGCTGTCCTTCGATACTGGGGTCTAATTCCTTCCCAGCGTAACGTGAACTTTTTCCGCATCATAATGGGGATTGCAGAGTTAAACCGCTGTCTTAGGATTAACTTAGGCATACCTGCAATTCGGCATTGTTATGCCCTAGCCAAGTCTACTAGCCGACTGGGGCACTATTTTCTCAGAGCCAAAGATACCGATCATCACCTAGTGACTATGCTGGCCAACTCTGGCAAGCGTGTTGACGACGTGATAGTCGTTGTCTGAGGCAGCTGGGAATTCAATTCATGATGATCAAATTTTGCCAGCAAGGAATTTGCCGTTTTCATGTAAGCGGCCATACGGTCGTTTTTGGCCGCGTACTCCCCCTTTAGTTAATTGATCACACGTTTTGAATCACAAAATATAAGCAAACGCCGAGCACCCAGGAGATGTACGTTCCGCAAGCCGATTAGCAGGGCTTCGTATTCGGCCTCATTGTTCGATGCTTCGAAGCTGAATTTGACAGCCTGCTCAATTATTGCAATTATTGCTCCGTCGAGAGCCATGATCACTACTCCGGCTCCGCTGCCACGTTGATTAGATGATCCATCACAGCACAACTGCCAAATGTCCCCAACATAAATTTTCCAGTTCGGCTTAAGTTGAATTTGATCAGACTTCAAGTCGGCAAGACCCCCAGTGAATTCGGTAATAAAGTCGACAAGCACTTTACCCTTGATTGAGGTTCTAGGTAGAAACTGAATATCGTACTGGTCGAGTTCAAGAGCCTACTTTGAAACGCACCCTGACGCTTCTGCATTGCGGAGTACTGCCCGGAGGGGATAGTCCGTTAGTACCCCAATAGTATGCCCCTGAAAGTAATGCATCAGTTTTCTTGCTGCCATGGCGAGGGCTAGGATGAGTTTTTCAAACGGAAGGTAATGTGTTTCGGCATCAACCATTACCTTGCTCACATAATACACTGGCCGTTGCTCCCCAAGCACTTCCTTTAACAGTACGGCGCTAACGGCCCGGTCGGAGACTGCCAGATATAAAATAAGCGAGTCACCTGCCGAAAGTGTTGTCAAGAGTGGAACTGATCGGAGGTAGGTCTTCAGACCGTTGAAAGTGGCTTCACAATCAGAGGTCCATTCAAAAGCCTTACCCTACCGTAGGGTATGAAAGAATTGTCGGCAGCAATCTGTGGAACGACTGATGAACCTGTTGAGTGCGGCGGCTATCCCCATCAACTTTTGAACCTCCTTCACCGATCGAGGGGAGCCGAGTTCCAAGATTGCTGTGATTTGCCTCAGGTTGGCTTCGATTCCTCGGTGGTTGACAATATAGCCAAGGAAGTTGCCGGATCCAATCCCAAATACACACTTGGAAGCGTTCAGCTGCATTTTGTACTTGGGTAAAATGCCGAATGTCTCCTCCAGATCGGCTAGATGAGTTTGCTCTTCTTTGGACTTAACCACCACATCGTCAATGTACACTTCCATAGTACGGCCAAGTTGCTCCTTGAACATGGCGGTGACTAGTCTTTGGTAAGTTGCCCCTGCATTCTTCAGCCCAAAAGGCATAACCTTCTAGCAATAGGTTCCTCTTGGGGTGAGGAATGCAATTTTGTCTTGGTCCTCCGGGTGCATGGCGATTTGATGGTAGCCTTGGTAGGCATCAAGGAAGCTCATACGTTGATGACGTGCCGTGGCGTCTACAAGTTTGTCAATTTTGGGGAGAGGAAAACAATCATTGGGCAAGCTTTATTTAAATCGGTAAAGTCCACACAGACACGCCAAGTCCTATTTTTTTTCTTTACCACTACAGTATTCGACAGCCATATAGGATAGGTCACTTCCCGAATTGCTCCAGCATCAAGCAACCGGTCAATTTCTTCGACAACGGCAGCAGTGTGTTCTGCAGCTGACCACCGACTTTTCTGAATAATCGGCTTACATTGGGGTCAACATTTAAACGGTGCTGAGAAACAGATGAATCTACCCCCGGCATCTCATACGGCGACCATGCAAATACATCAAGGTTGCCAAGTAAGAAGGTAATTAGCTACTGCCTGTCAGTTTTATTCAAGGAGGCGCCGACCATGAAAAATCTGTCAGGGTCCCCATCAATTTCAACTCGATCCAGGGCTTTTGTGGCCATTTCACTTGGGAGCCATCCAACATCGTCGAGGCTCTCGCGACCCGGCACCTCAATAGAATTCACCTCCAGCTCTCTTAGTGTCTTTGCAGCGAAAAGATAACATGCTTGTGCCGATTTCTAGGAACCACGGATTTGTTCAATGCCGCGTTCAGTCAGGAAGCGGAGCAGTTGATGATAAGTGCTTGGCACGGCATGTATGGCATGCAGCCAAGTTCGTCCCATGATAAGATTATACGTCGAAGGCAGCTTGACGACTAAGAATTCCACATCCACTGTTCGGGAGCCCGCTCGAACTGGTAGTGTGATTTTGCCCAACGGGTATTCTGGATTAGCGTTGAAGCCAAATAATGGATAAGGAGCTAGAGACAGGTCCGACTCGGCGAATCCGAGTTTGGTGAAGGTCTTGTAATACATAACCTCCGAAGTACTCCCCTGGTCTATGAGAACGCGTTTAACGGTGAATCGGTTTACGCGTAGTTCGATGACCAATGGATCAATGTAGGGGAGTGTTACGTCGATCAAATCAGAATCGTCAAAGGTAATATTCAGAGCTTCATGGGGCCGTTTTACTAGTGATTTGCTTTTGGGGGCCTGGATGGGACTGAATTGCATGCACGGCGGGGACTGTCGACAGGCTGTATATCATATGGATGACTCCGAGCACAGGTGAATCCTGCCGTAGGGCAACTATTTTGGTTGAGCTGTTCTTTCGGACGTGTTGCAGGAGTCAACCGTCTTGTACCAACTCCTCAAGGTGATCTTTCAAAGCATAGCAACTGTCGGTATCATGACAGTGATCTTTGTGATATTCGCACCGCCTATCCCATCTCTCCTGTCGGGAGGTCCCATCATTTTTTATGGCCATTTGAAGAACGGAAGGTGTTGAACCTTAGCCATAACCACACTGATCGGCTCCGATAACTCCGTGTATTTCTTGACGGCGCGCCTTGCGCACCTATTATCCACTTGAAGCTGCTTATTAGCTCAGTGTAGACATTGGTCGTTTGATCGGCGCGAATCCCACCTTATATCTTGTTTAGCCCGATTCCGTGATTCAGGGCTCCGTGGTGGTACAACGTTTATCGACTGCACAACTTCAGGCGAGGCCGACTTAGTGGCTTTATGCCCGTCTTTGACCCGGAGGGCATCATCTTCTACTTTGCAATATTCCTCAACTTTTTTCATCAACGACCAGACCGTTTTTGGGGGCCATCTGGTCAAAGAGCTGCGGAGGGCACTGTCTGAATGTAACCCCATCTTGAAGGCGGTAATGGCCATGGAGTCATTGCAGGCATCATCTACTAGATTAAAACATTCCCAATACCGCGCCGAATACGCACGAAGGGTTTTCCCCCGTTGAATTTGCATTGTCCACAGAGAATTGGCTTGCTTCGGCTGGACCTCATTAGTGATGAACCTTACCCTGAAGGATTTTTGGAGTTGGTGAAAGCTCTTGATCGATGCCGGCTCCAATTTATAATACCGCTTGACAGCTAGTGGTCCCAAACTGCTCGAAAATATTTGACACATGAGGATCTCGTCATCTGCATAAAGCGTCATGGCTTGCTTGTAATAGAGAATGTGATCGGTGGGGTTTGATTTACCATCATACAAGGTGAATGACGATGCTTTGAACTTTTTGGGTAGCGCTGCCCTTGCAATCCGTCGTACAAAGGGGTCATGCTGATCCTCTTCATCTGAATCATTTCTTCTTCGCTTCTTCTGTGCACGCTTACTTCCCTCAGAAGAACTGGAGATGTTGACTCGTCCCTTCTTTGTAGATTCTAGGGATGATAAGTCAGAGCCACTGCCACTATCATGTCTCCGAATTCGAGATCGTCGACCATCCTTTCTCAGAGGTCATCCTGAGTCTTGGTGCGCGGGTTGTTGGGATTTTGCCACTTCCAAGGCCAAGTCTTGTTGAAGGCACTCGTTCTCAGCCATCATGTTTTCCAACCTTTGTTCGTTTTGCTTCGCTTGCCCCATAATCGCTTGCATTGCCTCATGTGCTGATGGCGAGGGTGAATCGAAGTTCAAGACCCTCTTGCGGTAATAGTCTCTGGCCCAAGCATGTTGCTTGGAGTGGTTTCGTCTTGTGGCGTAGGGTCGCCAGCGACTACCAGAGGATCTTCCGTCACGCCCGCCATGGATGTGCTTGAGTATTCCCACAGACGGCGCCAATTGTGGGGAAATGGTTCTGGAAACACTCTTTGGATCCAATAGGGCACTCGAGATCCTCAGCTAGTAACCTGAAAATGAATGAATACTCCGGTCGGGGGTGCCGGAATTAGCACTCCGACAGATAAGTCAGTATATACTCTCTCGATTGCTTGTATCTTAAGTTAAGCGCACTAGTTCTCACATACCCCTCTTTGGTTGTTGTTCTTCTATTTATATACACTCCTAGTCCTCAGGATAGGGCCCACTATTAATCCGTCGTGTGATTGCTCACTCGGCCCTTCTTTCGTTGTATTACAACTTCCAATCGGCCCCTCATTCAACTGGCTTTATGGCCGACTAAAATATTCGGCATCCAAAACGTACAAGATGGAGGCGAGTATAATATGCACCGATTGTCTAAATATGTACTCGGCCTACCTGCGTTCGCTATTATTCGGCTCCCACAGACAGCTTTACAAATAAATAATATTCACAAACTATATAAACAATAAAAGAAATTATATAAAAAAGCAGTCCAATAAGTCATGAAAGCATGACGAAACATGTGCCTTCCCACCTTTGATTTCCTAACAAGGTAAGACTTACCATCTAGGAAACAATAGCACTTGGAAACAATTATGTTAATTTCCTTGTATTACTTGTTCAACTCATATGCCAAAAGAAATTTAAATACATGGTTATCAACACCAATCTATTTGCATATCAAAAAAAGGGATTCTCAAATTTCAAGCATTACTAATAAAAATGCACAACATTGATCTTTTTAGGCAGAATCAAGTCAATATGGCAACGCTCTCTTCCTTCCGAAACAAAAATGCCTACTACTATAAAAACCATAGTGAATACAGAAAAATCTAGCATGCAATAAAGCTTGTACATCAGATTCGAGTAGAACACAGGGACAAGAAACAATAAGGAATTGTCAAGGTGCAACATAACTGAAATATTTATAAATTCAGAATGCAATTTTAGAACTCAAACCATCCACTAAAATCTAGGGATTGTAATGCCATGCATACCTAGCTGATGTGGCCAAGATATTTGGTTCTCCAGGATTAAATCGAACAGATATAACTGTGTCTTTTCCCCACTCAAAGCTATTCACAGGCTGGGACCTATTTACGATGAGAAAAAATAGCATGTAAAAGTAGAAAAAATTCAGGAAGTTAAGAAGAATCAAAACAAGTAGAGTTTAAAACCTATTATGATCCCATATATCTACTTGAGCTCCAGCTGTGGCAAAGATATTACCCTCCCATTGGTGATCAACAGCCCTAAAAAACAAAGATGTATAGGAAGGTTTAGAACCAAAGGAGACAAATATTGACAATTGAACATATTTCAGTGATATAGTAATGTGATAAACCATACCAGAATGCATTCTTCCAAACATAAACCGCCAATGGCTGAAAGTATGTAACGTAATTGTTCAGTCAAAGGAATGGCATAATCAGTCATTCTATTGCATAAGATGGGTACATTTTGCTTAGAAAAGCCACTAACCTTAGCAGAATTATCAGATGAGTCATCTGAGTGCATAACATTAGCAAGAGGAACATTCCAGAGTCTGACACTGAAACAAAAAGGTCCACTTTTAGATTGTTGTCTATGAATAAATGCAAGCATAACTGTAATTTCATACATCAAAATCGAAGTTGCATCAAACAAATTTTGCCTTACGTGCAATCAGTTCCACATGATACAAGAACACGTCCATCCGTTGATGCTGTCAACCCACGTACAGCACCTTGGTGACCAGGAAACTGACAAACTGTTCGCCTTTATTTTTATAAAACAGAATCAAACACCAAAACAAACATAACCACATACACATAAAACTCTTTCTTAAAATATTAAAATAAAATACATACAAAACCAGAAAAAAATATATATATCTATAATAAAAACAAACAATTAAAAAAAGAATACCAGGATCATGCAGGTTCATTCCGCAATCAGCTGACACACATCATACAGAAATGTGACAGGCTATGGTGGCAAAAAAAAGTTTATGTTGGTTCTGAGCCAGACATATAACATGCACAACCATATTATCTAGCAGATTTCATATTATATTGTTTCAAAACATAATGGCAATCAACGTTATAACTGTAACTATGCATAATGCACTTCTATCATACTAGAAGAAGTAATATAAATTCAACTATCTCCATTATATAAATTACCAGACAACCTGAGTTTGTTTTCCTGGACTCGCCTACCAGGACCAAAATTTGAAATCAAATCTAGGCATAGAATTTTGAATAGAACCACTGACTGTGAAACAATTTTTGCATGCATATGCATCAAAGGCAAGCTAGATTTTTCTTTAAGTGATTTATGCACCAAAAAGCATCTTTTGACATTTCAATGAATAAAAACAAAAACAAAATTAACCTTGGAGTATCAGGTACAAAGGTAACATTTATGTTTTTGGTTTATGTTTACAAAAATTTTATAAATTGGTTTTTGTTGATTTTTAGAAAAACATAAATTATAAACTCGTTTAGTTTGAATAAAATGTTTAAAAAAATTTAAAAACATAAACTAAAAAATATATTTGTTCAAGCCTAAAATATTTATATTTATTTTTATTATTTATGACTTAAAAAAATAATTGAAAAAAAAATTAATTGGGAAAAAAAATATTTGGAAAAAAAATTAATTGAAAAAAAAATAAGTTGAAAAAAAAAATTATTTGAAAAAAAATTAATTAAAAAAATATTTGTAAAAAAATTAATTGAAAAAAAAATTATTTGAAAAAAAAAATTAAAAACTAAAAACGTAAACTCAAAATGAGTTTTTTTTCTCAAATTTATAAACTGAGACAACCATTTATAAACTAAAAAAATTATCAAACAAGTTTTTAAGACAATTTTTTAAATTTTTGTAAATATAAACTGAAAACTGAAAATTGAATGGTTACCAAACAGGTCCACAGTAATCATTCATTGTCAAGGAAAATTTAAAACGCAAAAAGAAAGCAAGACAGAAAATGATGTAACTGATTGCTTTAGCCCCTTCTAATAACACTTATAAACACACACAAAGGATGAATGTGCAGATTTTAAGAAAGCAAGGAAATGAGACATCCAAACCAACATCCCACTCAATCACTATCAGAATATGTAGTTGGATGCTGTGTAAGAATACCTTGAAGCCATGTCCCAAAGCCGAATGTCTGCAAACATAACAAAAGAATAGAAGCATAAAAGTAAGCAACGTATATATTTTCAAATGTTAAAATTCCCTCAAACAGAACCATGTTTATTGGCATAAATTGGCAATCTAAACTAACTGACACAATTATAGCATGAATAAGATTATTCAAAGAACGAAAATTTGTAGTCTCCTTTAAGATGTACAACTAAAGCAAACAAGTAAACTATTGCTGGACATAAATTTTTGGTGACAAAAAATAGTTTCTTCATTTTTTATTTTTAACATATCAATTAACATATTAAGCAAAGCATCTTCTGAACTACTAATACCTAAGTATTTCCTGATTTGAAAGCAAATAATTTACTTTGGATATGCTAGTCGCATGGCCTACAGAATGACCTTACCTTGCTTTTATGAACTTGGAGAATAGAATTAAAATTGGACCAACTACAGCAAATTCATTAACCCATTGTTCTCCAAATAAAAAATTCAACTAAGTTAATCTTTAAAAGGGCATGAATTTAACTAAAATAACAATGTACAAACGATACCTCCATCCATAGAACCAGAAAATATTCCTTTCAAGTGATTCGGGTTCTTGGCCATACACGAGACGGCATCTACATGCCCATCCATTGCTCCAACAAATGGCCTTGCAAATATCTAATTAATGCCCAAATTGAAACCAATTACTCTCCCAACTAATAAAATCAACCCACCACAATTATACACATACATGTGTATTGAAACACATTATGAACTGAAAAATGAACTTTCTAGTTACCTTCTCCAATTTAGCTGCGTTAACAGCCCGGACATATTCGATTGCCTTTTCTTGCGTTCGCAGATTTGGGTCGAAGTTCCGATATACTCGCTAATGCAATTCAATTACAAAGCAAAATTCAATTTCAGAGGAAGAGAGAGAATTGCAGAATTCTAGAGAGAGAGTGTATGAAGATTAGACAGGCTCACCTGGAGATCCTGACTTCGTTCGCGAGTGAATTCATCTGTTGAACGCGATATTACTTTGACTTTCATTGCTTAAGCTTCTAGGGTTTGCTATAAGCAACGATTTACGAGAGATGGAGAAGCTACAGTGTACCCTAGAGAGACGACGTTAAACCCTGAGAGAGAGAGAGAGAGGTAGGTGAATAGACCAGAGCCTTGGCCTGGGCCAGGGCCAGGGCCTGGGCCTAATGGTTTTGTAGCCGTTCAAGAGGTGAATAGACCAGCGTCTTTGGGCCTGGGCTAATGGTTATGTAACATTATTTCATTGTGAGGTCATGAGCCGCGAGTCCTTTGTGAAAATGATATATTTTATTTAATTCTAAAATTTTTTAAGATAGAATCAAAATTTCTATACCCATTCCTCTTTTCTTATATCTTGCTTCTTTTTTGTATCTTTTTTTCTCTGATATTAGCCACTACCACGGCCATGCCTTTTTTTTCTCTCTCCTTCTAATCTACAATTAGTAGTGACTAGTGACCACCATTAATTGAAGTTCATATGCAACCACCGAGCACTAACTCTATGCTTTGTGCTTACCGACGACGAAAGAGATGAGTTTTCCGATGAAAAAGATGAGTAGATCTATTCAAAAGTAATGTAGATTTACTCAAATTTACGTCAAATCTGAGTAGATCTACGTTAGATATGACTAGATCTAAACTAAAAAATAGTTGCCGAATCACAAACATTTCTCTGTATTTGTCTCTTTTCTTCAATCTCTCAGTTTTAATACTTTTTTTTGTACTATATACTTCTATTTTCCTGTTATAATGGAGAAAATTTTCAAGTTACTTTCGAGTTTTAATTACATGTGGTGAAAATTGTAAAATTTTATCGTTTCAATTTTTTTGGTACTGAATTGAATCATTATTTAGAACTATAAAATTTTACAGTTTTATAACATGTTTTTCAGTTTAATTAATAAGGATAAATACTTAATAGAATCATACTTTGAAAGTGTAACATTTTACAGTTTCAAAACTTATTTTTCAAATTGATCAATATTAAAAATTATTTGCTTAAACCCTACAAAAATTAAAAATAATTTTTTTTTTCATTGTTGTTATTTGTTGTTCTCTGATTTTTTCTTCTTCTTTCAGTTTATTGATATTTAGCACATTTTTCTATGTTTTTTCACTTTAATTTCTCAGCTTATTTTTCTTCTTTTTTCGGCAAAATTCTAACCATTCCGATGAGTCTCTGGTGATATTCTTAATGTCCAGCGAATATTCTAGACATTCTGATGACTTTCGGTGACGTTCAAAACATTCTGGCGATACTCCGGTGAATTTTCGATGATATTCCAGCGACTTCTCGGTGAAGTTAAATATTCTGGTGAGTCTCCGATAATCGTCTGACGGAAATCCGAAGTACGAGGGCGGCGTGACAGCTGCAATAGGCCAGTAAGGGCGTGCCACGTGTCATGGGAAGGAGAAACGATTCAGTTGCTGTGATTGAAGAGACGTTTTGATCAGACAAACAGAGCCCGGTGTGGAATGAGCTCGGTTAGAAAAGCTAAAGGGTTTTAAGCTCAGCTGGATAGGCTAAAAGATTTTAGCTCGGCTGGAAAAACTAAATTGCTTGAGCTCGGTTGGAAAAGCTAAAGGGTTTTAAGCTCGGCTGAAAAGGCTTAAAAAACCTTAGCTCGGCTGGGAAAACAGGTAATCCCAATCATGCTACGCAGATGGAATTAAGGGGCAATTGAGAGGGTAATTTATATGAAAATTGGGCCGAACTGGCTAATGGGCCAAGCTGAGTTGTTATGGGCCACAGTACTAAGAGCTGAGTAAAAAGGCCGTAAGGTTACTCCGGCCCGAGAGAGATGTAAAGTTACTCCGGTCCGAAAGCGACTTTGAGTTAGGCCGGTTTTAAGACGCTTTGAAGTTAGACCGGTCTCAGTGTTAGCCCGGTCGTGACGTATTGTGGTTAGACCGATCAGAATCTTGCTACTCGGTAGCTTGGTCTAACCACACCATTCTTTGTACATGAGGAACCGAGATAAGGAGTAGTGAAAAGGAGAACCGAACTAAGGACGGTTCGGCCTACTCTACGGCTCAGCACAACCATGATTACCTCAGTCCTGTTGGAGTTCGGCCATGGTAAAAACTATCTCACTTGGTTTAAGCAGTGAGGGGGGTGTTGAGGGATAAGCATTATCTTTCAGGTGTATGAATCCTAGGAGGACTCTGCATAGAGGAGTAGAAGTCCTACTAGGATTGTGCCACGCAAAACCTATAAAAGCTCACAAACATCACCTTTGGAGAGGTAACACAACTTTGTTTTTTGAATACACAGAGCTGCTGTCTATTTGTCAAGCTTACTGACTTAGGCATCGGAGAGGTTTACGGCACACACCCGCCGGCTAGCTCACGTTTGTGTTTTCAGGTGATAAAGCGACGTCGTACGGAGAAGCGCAGACTTGATCAATAGGATTATACGAGAAGGTATATTTCTTTCCCGTACAATTGGCGCTGTCTGTGGGAAGAACAGACAGGACAAAACCTCTTGATCAAGCTTTACCTCTTTAGGAACAATGGCGCACAATGAAGAATGACCACAGTCCGCCATCGACGGGCAAACACCAGATGGGGATGCAAGGCGTGAAGGATTACCTTCTATCCCTCCCATGGCGGACTTGGAGCCCCAACGACATAACTCCAGGAGGGATACGAAGGAAAGGCAGACTAACAGCCCCCATCACTCTCATTCACAAAGTCCTGACAGGCAAAGGCGGAGGATTTATCCTCAAGTTCTGGAGGACCGCGTGAAGGAGCAAGACGAATTAATAAGAAAGATGGCGGCGGACATGGAGGCCTTGAAGCGCCAGATGAAGGAAAAATGAGTGGCGACAGGAGAGGGGCGCCAAAACAAGACGCTCCCTCGCCGCTCAGAAGACCGTGGAAGATATTCCACACCATCACAAGCGGAAAGTAGAAGTCTCAAGACAGGCGATACTCAGTCTAGAACCTCCAGAACTCGTTACTCCAGGTCTGAGAGAACGAGATCATTGAGGTCTTACACAGAGGGAAGTACCTACCGACCCTCGCACTCACACGAGACATCATCCAAACAAACGGAGTTGCCTAAATCATCCGATTTGCGGATCATGCTAGAAGAAAGGGCACGTTTGAAGGAAGATACTAGGGCGCGCGACCCTCGCAAAGTTTCTGCCCTTCAACGATTGGCTCCTCGATCGCATGGAAGCGTTGAGGTTGGAATGCCATTACCACGCCCTGCCTACGAGCCGACGGACAAAGCATTAGCAAGGCTGCAGACCTCGCCGTTCGTTCTGGCAATTGAAAACGCGTCCCTACCTACAAGCTTCCTTCAGCCCAAATTCACTACGTACGAGGGAAAAATGGACCCCTACATTCACCTAAGCCACTTCCGCTAGATTATGGCGGTATATCGGCGAAACGAGGCTCTAATGTGCATCCTCTTCCCATCAAGCCTTGGTGATCTAGGCTTGACTTGGTTTGAAAAACTTCTAGAATGCAGCATAGCCTCCTGGGTGCAATTGGCGGAGGCGTTTGTCACAAGGTTCAGAACAAACATCAAAACCCCGGTGGAAATTGACCAGCTACTCTCCATCGACATGGGCAAAAAAGAGACATTAAGGCCCTACAATAGTCGCTACTGGGAGACATTCAATCAAATTGGGGACTACCCCACCAATCTCGCCATTGCACAGTACAAAAGAGGCCTTCCAGTCGGGAATAGACTAAGGAACTCAATCACCATGACACCACCCCTCACCATGGAAGCCTTGATGGAAAGATTGCATCAGCACATCAGGGTAGAAGAGGATGGCGCACGTGCCAAAACAAAATCTGGCACGACCACAGTACCAGAGAAGAAGGCCTCAGCAAAGGTCAACACGGTAGACCGTCCAAACAGAAATGGACGAGGCAGGTGAGACAACGGAGAGGACCAGGATAAAAGATGGTTGAGAGTCCGCACTGCCATAACCACAGTCTTCAAGAAACCGATCTATCGAATTCTAAGTGAAATACGAGATGAGCCTTTCGTCAGATGGCCAGCCAAACTAGGGGAAGCGTAGAAGGACTATGACGAAAGATCACGTGCACCTTCCACAAAGAAAAGGGGCACCGCACTGAAAATTGCACGCCATTGAGACAGTACCTGGAGGAGTTGATGGCAGCAGGACACTTGGATAAATACATTGAAGGAGGGACGCAACCAGCCCCCCAGGACCATAACAACCCCAACGGGATGCCAGTCGACGCCCCATCTCAAGGCATCATCAATGTGATATATGGAGTTTTTGAACCTGAGCGTGTATGCGAGCTCAGGGGATCAATCAAAAAGGCTGAACACTTAAGAGAGGTGCTAAGTGCCCAACCTGCCATCAAGAAGGGGAAGACAGAGGCCACAAACGTCATGTCTTTTTCAGATAAAGACTTGGAACGGATATATTGCCCTCACAATGATGCCCTGGTCGTCACTCTCCGAGTCAAGGATTTTGACGTCAAGCGGATTCTGATTGACCAGGGTAATTCATGTGAAATCATGTATTACGAAACATTTAAACAATTAAAATTACAAGACAAAGACTTGGCGCCTGCCGTATCTCCCCTAATTGGATTCAACTCCATGCCGGAATGGCCCGTCGGCAAAATAATTCTTCCAGTCAGAGCAGGAAACGTGACGAAACAAGTGGAGTTCTGGGTATTGAAGGTCCCCTCCACATACAACATCATCTTGGGCAGAACATGGCTGCATGCCATGCGATCGGTGGTGTCATCCTACCACCAAGTAATGCGGTTCCCCAACAATACCGGGGTAATTAAAGAAGTCTATGGAGATCAGATCATGACGAAGCAATGCTTCGTCACGGTGAATGGCAGTCGCACTGCCAAAGGATACGTTCATTCGGTGGAAGAACCTGAGAGCAATGAGCTATTCGCAGATGTCGGCAAAACGGCTGATCAAAAAGCGGTGAAGGACTTGGTAGAGGTAAGAATAGATGAAAAGAACCCAGATAAGTTCTTTTTGCTCGGTTCGTCATTGTCCAGCACTGAGACATTAGAGGTGTTGGAATTTTTGACCTCTAACATCGAAGTGTTCGCCTGGACACCATACGACATGCCCGGTATTGATCCCAACTTCATCTGTCATCAACTCAATG